TATGCTGAGAAACTTTCCCCACCAGGCTATTTTCTACAACCCTGTCCTTTCCCTAAAAGAGCTGCATCGTCTGCTCGGAAAAACCCAGCCTGTTCTTCAGCGTGGTATTTAGCCTTCTTTCTGCTGTAGAAAATGGTTCTGCTTGGTATTTTGTTCTGTCACTGTGTTACGTTGGCTGCTGTGGCTTAGTTGTGTGCTCAGACTTTGGGTGACATTTTTCTAATCTGTTTCTTGCAGTGTACAACTATGTGAACTTTGTTATTTAAAAAAAAAAGGTTTGGGGTACTTTCATTTTTAGTTACTCTAATGACGTCACAGGACAGTCAAATAATTTTGGGGGTCATAAATAGGTTTTTTCCATGAAATTCCCACCCTCCTTTTGGGGAGCGCTTTGCCAGGTTTTGGCGGGGTTGCCAAGGGCGCGCTAAAAGGGAAAAGCTTTCAATTTTGCCAAGTAAGCTAGGCTTTTTAAAAATACAACTGGGAATGGAGCAAAAAATTTAAGGGGGGGTTTGGCTAATACTTTATTTTTTAATCCAGCAGTGACGCGGAGAAACCCACTTTTGAAATTGATAAAAATTTTTGCAAGGGGGAAAAAAATCATGGGACATTTGTTTCCACAACAGGGGAATTTTGGTGGAGTTGCCCGGGGGGGGGGGGGGTGTTTATGTTTTGCTTTCCAGACAGAAAGCAGAGACCTTCTCCCGATCAACAACAAACACAGACCCACAGATATATTCTCTGACGTGGCCCCCCCTTTCCAATCGCTAACCGTAAATTTTGGAATTAATTTGTGTGTGAACCAGCAGTATACAACTAGAATAATTGGCCCTATTTAGGGCTCCCACAGTACCCCAAAGGCAAATTTCTTCAATTGCACATAGACCCCCACAGAGTTTTTTGATTGAAAAGGTTTCACACACACAAAAAAACATAATTTTTTTTAAACCCCTTTAATCAAAAATTTGGTTTTTAAAACCCTGTTAAAATTTAATTTTCTTTTTTTTTCAAAATTTTTAAAATCATTGAATTCCTGAAAAGGCTGAACTAAGTTTGTAAAACATTAAAAAAAAAAAGGGATGGAAACCGTTTCCCCCAACAAAAAAAACCCCCCCTTAACCCTTAAATCAAAAAAGAATTTAAAATACCAAACTCGAAAAGGATGGTATTATCTTTTCACAGAAAGGGCTTGGGCCAAAATGGAGGAAAAAAGGAAAGGTTAACTTCAAAGTTTTTTTTTTGGTTCCGGGACAAAGGAAAAAGCCCTTTTTCTTGAGTTTTGTCCTTTGCATACCGTTGTGTCGTTTTGGGGGGGGTAAATTGGCCGGTGGCTGGTTTACATGTGAGCTGGTAACATACCTTATGTAAGAATTCAACGTGTATGTATAGTAACCAACTTATTGTGCTGGACTACTTCCATCAATGACAAACTGCATTTCTGGTGGTTTGTTGGCTTTGCCACCTCATTTACTGCGTGCTCATATTTCTGGATTGGTCCGGAACTAGTTGTTTATTCACCAATTTTTCACATGCGACAGTGAGGGACATTTCACTTGATTCGCACTGGCACAGGAAAGGAGCAAGTTTGGGAAAACCCGATTGCGGTGATGCTGAAAACTTGACTAACTGACTAATTTACATAGAAAATAACAAGCAGTAATCTTCAGACTGGACTGAACATATTTGACTACAATAGTGCTTGTTGAACAAGCTAGGTACTATTGATTCATATTACAGATAAATGTAGCTGTGGAAATAGTAAAAATGTCAGCGAGACATTTGTCATTGAATGGCCGTAACCATCCCTACACTTTGGACTATTCGTGATTTGCTGGTGCCCCTAGTGGCGAGGTCACATTCAAATTTTGACCCGTCCGGTGGGTATATAGTCCATCATGTCTATTTACACCTTTGTATGAGGAAATACATATTTCTATATGGTCTGAATCTCTTGAAATGTCTACATTTTCAAACTTAAGGTGAACTTAAGTTGAGAAACAGTTAGAGAATTCTTTGTGTTATTATTCTTAAACCCAAAGGGGAGGATGATCTGTCATGACCAACAGCATATAGTTCATCGGGGGGGCACACTTCTTTCTGCCCTAAAGGGACGCCCCCACACAATTTTTTCCCTCTCATTCTCTCCGGACGGACCGTAGCCAAGAAGAACTGGACGTTTCATATAATAGTGCCTCCTAAAAAATTATATGTACTCTCTGAGAAGGTGGCTTTTGGTCCCAGGACATTTTTCCCTAAAAGCTTGGGTATAGTCAATTAGAGTTTACGAGTTAGCATATATATATATATATATAGTAAGATATATATATGATATATATATAATATATATATATATAAATAGATATAACAATATATATATATACATATATATATATTATAATATATATTGGCCCACCATGCTGAGGGGAGAGGGAATATATTGATTATATTCGGCTATGAAACATTACACAGCCCGAGAATGTTATTTATATTGGTTGTCAAACATATATTATATCCCTAACATGGTATTCGCCCACCTAAATCAAAAAGATATGCCTTATCCCCTTTTTCAAACAACCCCCCAAACCATTAGTATAAATAAAGTAAATTAATCTAGCAGTCCCCAAATCGTTTTTGCCATAACTAACCCCTTAGTTTTTGAAATGGAAATGGTGGGGGGGGAACATAGAAGCTTTGGCAGAAATTAATGGGGCAGCAGGCACACAGCTTTTTTTTTAACTGGAGCGACGAGAAAGAAATTGACACGCTAAAAGTGACGGTCAGGGGTTAGTTTATAGGGAAAACTCAGATTACAAACACAGGGGGTACCAGGAAAGGCTAGGGTCAAACTGTGGGAAAATATAATATACCTATATGTTGGGTGAGTGGTAGTCTGTTTGTGACTACAGGTGCAGATGTGGATGTGAGAGAGGATGTTCTCTGTCTGAGAGAAGTCTAGTCCTGTCTCCACTGTGGAACTTGTCTTTTGTCTTTCTTATATTACTTATACTGACTGACTTGACACTGTCTAATATGTCTCTTGTCCATCCTTTAATGTCATTGAATCCCTTTTTCCTGATTCATGATGTAAATGTTGAGCTTATTACATGTCTTTGGGAATTTTTTTTCAATATTTTGAAGTTAGTGTCCATCCTTCATTGTTCCTTAGCTGTCTGGAGTGTGTGTATTAATATATTAAGGATCATATTCTGTGTTAACATGAACTATGATAGTAAAACTATCATAGTCTGGGGGCTTTTTTTCTTGTAGTAGTGGGGATGTCCGGCCAAGTTGCCCCACCCCTGAAATAGGTTGGATGTGTATATTGGCCGCGGGATACCGCCTAGACCAATATGAGCCGACAATCCAACATTAATACTATTTCAGAGTGCTGTTGGTTCATTAGGAGAAATCCTTAATCAGGCACGTGACACGAGCGGTATGTGACAACATTTGCGACAAAATTTCCAAGAAGTAGAATATAGAAAGTGCTGATGGCTTTTACCAGTTTCACTCTAGGTCAAACTTAAAGGAGGTGTCAACAATATCAAAATTACTCATGCTCTCTATGATTATATCATTTGATGTCTCTCTTCAAACATTCAGATTGATGACTTTCTTTAAATGTATTACAGGTGGCCTGCCTGAAGGTATGCCAGGAACAAATCAGAAATTAGAGTTTTACAAATGTTTAAATACCTTTCCAACCAGGAACAGTGTTTTGCTGATGTTACCATCACCAGTGTATTCCATGAAAATAAGGCGAGCTCTGTGTCTGTCTACCGCTGAAAAAAAAAAAGACAAGACAGACATTGACCTTACAGTTCCATGAAGGCAGGTGCGAAATCTGTCTGGTGAAATGCACTTACAATATGTGTGGTTATACACTGAAACCCATAAGATCAGCAGAAAGTAAATACATGAAAGATATAAGAAATATATATTTTATCATGCTGTACATATTCCATTCAAGATTAATTACATGCTTGATGTTAACAAATTATTTTTATACCAGTACTCACTAAAATTTTATAATGAAATTGAAAGTATGAATAAGCCGTGTACATATTTCTTTTTCAATATATCTAAAGATAAATACCGTATTAATACAATATAAACCCAGTAGTGTTCAAGGGTATGAAAGAAAATAAGAGGGAACTTCAATTAGGTAACTTATTGCCAGAGAACAAGGAAAACAGTCAGGAAAACATGGAAACCCCTGAACAATGCCAAATGTTGGGTAGTTGTTGGAAGTGTCTAGGGGTGGATGGTTAACGCTTCAACCCATGTATGCAAAAGCTCTCCAAATCGACTATCTGATGACTAATTGTGTTCCCTACCAGAGAGTGTTTAACTAACACAGTTCACCTAGTCATATCGTACAATTAACATCAATAGCAGTCAAGCAGCCAACCACATCAACAATATGGAAAGAGTCATCTCTATAATCATGCATCAGTCTATTTATTAGAACGAAACACAGAGTGTGACGATGAAGATGAATTGGTGATTACTGAACCACTGTCCGTCAAATACCCCAGATACTCATTGATCTGCCTCCAAGGCGGTGTCACCTCAAAGGGGAAGACCTAGGCTCGACCTGACATGATTTCACAACATAAGATGCCTTCGGCCTACGGGTCCGCTCCTGGGGTCAACGGTTGACTTTCATAATCCCCTCGGTTATGTGCCCACACTTTGGGTCATTATTGCTGACCAGAGACTTTGCCCCCAGCACACCAAGTCTCCCGATCCACTGTCAGAATCAGCCTCCAATCAAAGTAAAATTTCAAAAACACCTTTTTCCCAACTTTGTGCACAATGTGGACCTTTTGCACTCGCCTCTGCCATCATCATTATCATTCCAGCACCTTCACCACTGGCGTTAGGCGATCATGCCTCTGACGCCTGGCGCAACTGGACAGAAAAGTGAGTTTAGCAACACAACAGCAGTGTTTACCAAAACTGACATTCCACACTGTACCAACGGCTTCAGGCAGGGAAGCACATTGAGGACAACACTAGCCTAATCCTAGAAAGATACTGCCCAGGCTTTGTGCCATGGAGAGAAGGAATAAAAAGAAACAACTTAAAGCTTTGGCTTGCCATGTGGAACATCAGGACCATGTGTTCTGGGTTTTCCACTGAATCAGAAAACCATTAGTGATCTGAGAAAAACTTGTGGAAGACTATATCAGAGCACCATTATTTGATAAAGAGAAATGACTACCCAGATCCACACAAAAAAAGAAGTTTATATATAACTCAATTTGCCCATGATTTTGTAGCTAAGTTCCTAAATAATAAAGGGAGTAGCTCTAGAACTAATTGAAACTGAAGAAAATTGCCTTTTATTCACTAATATTTATTCTCTTTGTACCAGCTGACTATGTTATCGTTGTATACTCTGCATGGGGTATACATTTGGGCTTTCCCTCACCAAAGTTTGACTCTACAAATGACTGAAACAAGTCTACTTCACAACTTTCTCTACCTAACTTTGGATAAATCTGATAAATACATGTGTTATTGAGATTTGAGGCTTCTAAAGACCTAAATCATGTCTGCATACACATAGAAGCCTGCTAGGCATCCATGTTGTTTGGAAAAAAAAAAAACTTATTAACTCAGGAAACCTCGCAAACATACTATTTTTTTAGGCTGTTTACCAAATTAAAAAAAACAAAAATATAGGTCAACATGTGCGTTACTGAACGCACAGAACTGGACAGGAAGTTTAAACTGTCCAGTCTGAGATTTTAAACTGGTCAGTAATAAATTAAAAACCTGTATGCATCACATGCAGACTGAGTCGCCAGGTAATTACCAAATAGCGCACGATGCATTCCTTGGGACTCAAAGAGTTGAACTGCTGAGAAAATCAACTCTATCATGAAATCAGATAACAAAGTCAGATTGAAAGTCACACAATTCCTGCCTGCTAGACTGTCTTAGCTAGCATGTGCATGTGCACACACACATACAGAAAGAGACAGCAAGAGAGATAGAGAGACACACAGACAATATGCAAATATTCTCATCAATTGTTTCTGTATACTACTTTAAGAATTCTCAGATTACAAGTATCAGTGAGGACTTAGGAAATGTTAACATCCATAAGAAATCCCATGCTGAATGTTGTTCAGAGAGGCTAAAGGTGCCTGACTGGATTCCATCAAAAGAATCAAAAAGATTGCATAGGATAAAAAGGAATGGAGGAATCAACTGTCAGTACTATGTGACATATAAACAAGCAGAGTATAGGATGATGATAAAGAGGAATCATCTGAACTGTCAATACCACTGCTTTGAATAATCCACAGTCACCCTATCTGCCCAGTGATGAGAGACTTTAGTTGTTGCAGGTCTTCAATTTACAATGTAACAAGCTTTAAGAAAACTATATAAATTTAATTTTACATATTTTTCTGAACTTTTTGATGCCTTGCAACTCATCATCTGCTTAATGAGTAGTCCAACAACAGTGCACATTTCGGACTCTTGCCTCTATCAAGGAAGTGATTAACTCATTATATCAGAATTGTTAATTTTGCTCCATCTATCCTACAGTATTGTAACTGTTTAACTACTTTGGACTCAAACACTGGCTACTTGGAGCAACAACTTCCTTTGATATAAGAAGTTAAAGTAAATCACCGGCTAGTACAGAAAGATTTAGATACCTAAACATTAAGGAAATTACCATGAGCAGCTCGATTGACTGCACTCAGAAGAGGATAGTCTTTCTGTAAAAGATTCACATCACTGGTCACATTTATCTGAAAAAAAAATGAAAATAAACACCCATGAACACTTCAGTCAACACATGTCGATTATTAATCCACTGTTTAGGATAGTTGTGCCAAATTTAATGTTAAAAGTCCTAGTTCCCTTCTAATTTGCTCTTTACACCTGTCTCAGAAAGAAAACATTTTGAAAAAAATCACCTCTATAGCCAAATAAAACTGCTGGAAATTTATTCATCAGATTTTATCTCAAAATACTCCAAACTACCTTTTCCAATTGATTAAATCCAATCCTATGAACAGCAAGTGACAAAGTTTGTTACATTTGCCTAAACCTAGAATAGATTTATTTAAAACAAGTTTAGCATATTCTGCTGCTCATTTATAGAACCATTCTCCACCTGATCTGAAAATTACAAAGAGTTCCTATTCATTTAACAGCAAACTTTTTAATGTCATACTTACAAGTGATTATATATCACTTTAAATATAGTTAATAATCCATATTGCATTACCAAGTTATGATTAGATAAGGTATGTATGTGTGTTTGTGTAACATGTATATGTCTGATATGTATGTATGTGTAGGCGTTTGTGTATATATAATTCTGTGTATGGTGTGTGATTGGGTAATTATGTATGTCTGGGTGTATCTGTATGTATGGTTGTTTATGTTTAGGTGTTTGTGTATGTATCTGTATATTTGAGAATGCATGTATCAGCAAGAGTTCATGTATGTATATGTATGCATGCTTAAGTGTGCGCATCTGTGTGTATGCATGCATGTGTGAATCTCTCCCTTTCTCTGTCTCTGTCTGTCTCTGTGTGTGTGTGTGTGCAGGTGTGTAAATCAGTTGGTGTGTGTATCTGTGTGTGTGTGCGCACACACAAGTGTGCCCATGCATTTTACTACCCATGCTTTGTGTTTTTTTTAAATATTCACAATATGCATATTATTATATGATCATAACATGCTTTACTGATAAAATACAAATGCTGTGAGGAAGTTTGAAAGGGTGTATGCATGACCAACTTGTACACCTCTGAAAATATAGTCTGTTTGTTCTGTTGAGGATACGGATAAGTTCACTGTAAGAAACCATATGCTGCTGTTGTACGTGTGCATGTGTGTATTTGTGTGTGTGTGTTTGCGTGCCCCCGCGTGTGTGTATATGTATGTAACATGCTGCAAGACACTTTGCTATGACAAAGTTAAGCAAAAGAAACAGGTCAAATACACAGAAACTTTTAAAACTAATCAAAGTGCTGCCACAAAAACTACATACATACCACAATGCTACTTCCCGAGAAAGCTTCTAGTAAGTACTCTTCCACTTTTGGAGGTGCCATTCTTTCAGGATCTGAACCTCCAATGTCACGTGTCACAATACTAAAACAAAAATCATAAAAGGATGAAAACATCACACAAATTAATAACTTTTTTTTTTAAAGTATGCTCCATGGAAGTGAAAATACACTACAAATTATTATATACTTTAAAAATGTAATGTATAGAAGATAATGCTTTTAAAAAAAAAAACATAATGAAATGGTGAAGCAATGAGGTGGTTGAATTATGTGAATTTATTAGAAAAAAATACAGTGGACAAAGAACCATTGATTCACTCTGTATTCCTACCTTAACATAATTAAATTAAAATATATTCATGAGTTATATTTTTCCCACTAAATGTACTCATATGAAAATGCAACAAATTCAGTTACATCTATGTGGAAATCATCAAAAAAGTCTTACCCAAAGAGACCTATTTAAAAATTCATTAGTCACATTTTAATATATACAAATATTATATATTCAGGAATCTAATCCTATACTCATTAAAAAATTCTTTGAATCTGTAACCACAGATATGTTTTCCTCGAAATTAACAAAGCTCACAACCAAAAGATGGAGATTTTAAAATTATTGTTTTACTAAATTTGCCCATGACCAATTTTCTCATTTCTTTTGGGACGTATTCTCTTCATGTGAATAGAACTTTTACAATTATTTGCATTTGCTGATTACTAATAATGTTACTTTTTTATTTAAAATAATGATGAGGAAGGAGTTTAAAATTAATTTTACAGTATAGTAAATTTTCTCAAGTCTGGCCTCAATATCAAACAAATTTTGAAAAAAGCAAAAGACACTGAACCAGGGTCTGATGGAGTCAGGTATGGTCACATGAAGGCTTTGAGCAATGTAGACCTGGCAGAGATGGCCAACTGTTTTAACCAGAGCATTAAGACAGCATCGGTACCGCAGGACTGGGTGCACAGCTATCTAATCCCACTACCAAAATCTTTTAAGGATCATTTAAAGCTCAGTGGCTTTAGAATCATCACCTTATAAAACACATTTGGGAGGGTCTTGGAGAAGATAGTTGCTGTAAAGCTGCCAAAAATTTTTGGAAAGGGGAAAGCTTCTTCCAAGAGGTCTGGGAAGCTACAGGTCAGGAAAGGACACTTGGGCAAATGCGGCCACTTTTTCTTTTGACGTCTATGAAGGGTCCAAGAACAGACAGGAAACTATGGCGGTAGGACTGGATCTTGAGGATGCTTATAACAGAGTGAGATACAACATTTTAATGACTGCACTGAGGGAGAAGGAGGTCAGTCCATGGCTGGTGAATTGGGTTGCAGCTGTCCTGTATTCACGTCGGGCTGCTCTCCGACTGGGCTCATGGACCTCAGAACCATGCACTTTAGCCTTAGGACTGCCACAGGGATCCGCCATCTCGCCTGTGCTCTTTAACGTGTATACGAGCAAGATTGCAAGCCTGGAGGCACCAGAAGTTGGAAGGATACTTACTTTTGCGGATGATATACTTGCATATAGGCAGGGGGAAGAGAGGGAACAAACAGCCCGGGAGCCACAAGCGACAGTAGACAGGGTGACTGAGTGGTGTACAGAAATGAGGGCTGTCGTCCACCCGAAAAAGGCGTCTGTTTTATGGTGTTCTTTGGACAACAGAATCGTTAAAGCTAATGTCCCAAGTCTCACGATAGATGGTAGGAACGTCAACAGAGAGAGCAAACTGAAGTATCTGGGAATTACATTTGACAGGAGCCTGTCATTTAAGGGTTCCAAATGGAGCAATGATGCGCTGTACAAGACTCTTAATGTCTATTAGCCTCTCTTGCTCAAGCCGACCTGACCTTCACGCGGTGGATCCTGTTCTTCCCAGCAATCTAGTTGAAGGTTGGGGTCTCAACCCCCAGCGGGAAACTGGATGAGACAAGAAATGAGGTAAAGGCGAAAGACGAATTAATGAGCCTACTCTCCTCGAGTATGATCACAGTCTACCCTAGCAAAACAAGGTGCTGAAGTCGGAGGCAACCAGCCAAGAGGCGCACCACAGCAATCAGGATGCCACGCAAACACACCATGGAAATATGTCTAAATCAGCAAAACGTTATGGTGCTTGCCCTGTGATGGACTCTCAGGCAGGAGCAGTGCCGGGCCCTCTGCCTCGAAGAGGCCCAACCCAAATTACTGGAGGTCCTTCTCAAATGTCCTGTGGAGCCAGGGGACGTGAGAATAGAGCATCTGGCCAAACTAAGAAAGGAGTCAAATTAATGCACTGGAATGCAGAGGGGATTACAAATAAAAAGCTAGAGTTAAAAAATATTTTAAATGAGGAACAGATTCATATATGGTGTCTACAAGAAACCCACCTCACTCTAGACACAGTCTTCAAAATCAGAGGTTATCAGTGCTTCCGATCAGACCGGAAAGGCAGGAAAAAGGGTGGAATACTGACTCTTGTGAGGAACAATATCACTGCGTGCCAGACTGAAGTATATATGGATGGAGCAGAATATCAGATTCTGAAACTACAAACTGGAAACGCAGACTTCTACCTGATCAATTATTACTGACCAAGTGATCGCCCCCAGGCATTAGACACAATCCCAGTAGAAGAAAAGATGATTCTATGTGGAGACTTTAACAGCCACTGACAAAGCTGGGGATATGACCATATAGACCACAGAGGAGAGAAACTGGAGGAGTGGCGGGATGAGAACAGACTTGTTCTGATTAATAGGCCAACTGATCCACCCACATTCTACTTGAGGTCGTGGCACACCACTACTACCCCAGACCTAGCATTTCACTCTCCAGATCTGGAATGGAACATTAAACAAGTTGTTGGAAATCAACTGGGAGGCAGTGACCATTTGACCGGTCTTCCTGAATGCAGAAAATGAGAAGGTCAGAGAAACTAGTACGCTGCCAAGGTGGAACTACAAGAAGGCTGACTGGACAATGTTCAAGCACCGTACCAGTATACTGCTTGGAAGTCTCAGCGAAGACCAGGCTATAAACAAAGTAGTTAAAGAATTTAACAAATGCGTACTAAAGGCAGCAGGAGAATCAATACCAAGAGGTGCCCGTAAGCATTTTAAGCCATACTGGAGTAATGAGCTAGAAAATTTACATAACGAAGTAGAAACATCTAGAAAGAAAGCAGAGACCAGGCCAAACCAAGAACATCACAATAAGTACCAGCATAAAAAAGCAAAAATTGTAAGGGCAAAGCCACAGGTTAGAAGGAAAAGTGTGGTGTCCTGTCGCCCACACTTTTCCTCTTATTCATCAACGACCTGGTTGCTGAGATACCAAATGGAATCAAAATGACAATGTATGCCGACGACCTGGTACTGTGGTGCACCAATGAACATGCAACAATAGCCACAAAAACACTACAGCGGGCTACAAATACACTTGAGGCATGGGCCAATAGATGGTGTGTCAACATTAACACAGACAAATGTAGCACCACACTCTTCGTCCTCTCCCCAAAGCAAAAAGTGGGCATCATCAAAATAAACGGAATACCCCTAAGAGATGATAAAAAGCCCACATACCTAGGAGTCACATTTGATGACAGGTTGACATGGAGAAAACATATCAACAAGGCAGCAACCAAAGCCAGGAGGAAGACAGCAATACTAAGAAAACTAAGTGGAACCACATGGGGAGCCGATAGGAAAATACTCAATAAAGTAGACAAGCAGAGCATACTTCCACACTTGGAATATGGGTCAACTGCATGGTGTTCAGCATCTAGTACCACATTAAAGGAGTTGGACAAAGTGCAAAATCAAGCGCTCAGAGTCATCACAGGAGGGATGAAGTCAACCCCCCATATTAGAAATGGAGGAAAGCTGGGAGACAGCTGGGAAAAACACAGAGCAAAGTGGAAATACAAGAAAAGTTTCAGTAGCCAGATCACCAAATGAAAAAATAGATTTAAAGGACGGTTAAAAAAGAAGCAGCTTTATACACCAAGCAAAAAAAATATGTAGACAAACTCCTTCCTTCCAGAAATTGGTTGCCCACTTAAAAGTATTCTGGAACAAACCCCATGGAAAGAAAAATGCAAACTAACAGTACAAATCCAGACAAATGTGAAAGGGATATTTGACAAGCAAGAGCATGATAGTGTACAATGCAGAATGGCCACCCTCAGTTATATTGATGAAGAATACCCACAAACAATGGGTTAAGTCATACTGATGGTCCGCAGAAAGTGCTGTACAGAAATGGGGTCCTAGTGTACATATGTACTAGGGATATGTCCAGCGTACCAACCGGGAAGTACTGCCATAACTATGAAGCAGAAACTCAAGCTATCAAGATAGCAACAGAGAAATTGCTAAATACCAATCTTGGCTCACAGTATGTGGTAATGCTGACAGATGCTAAATTAGTACTTGAAGCACTCCAGTCTAGGAAACTACCAGAATTGCAAACACTGCTGACACAACTCAGCCTTCAGCAAAGAGTTGTAATGCAGTGGATACCATCTCATTGTGGAGTGCCTGGAAATGAGAAAGCTGATCAACTGGCAGGGGAAGGTGCGACAAAAGAGCAGCCGGATATACCAGTCACATACCACCAAAAGAAAAGAATCACTAAATAGATCAGGAAACCACTAGCCCCAGTACAAGACGACTATTTTATTATGGACAGACCAGAACAAGTCATTATCCTCCGCCTCAGAACAGGGCACAACCTATTACATAACCACACGTACAAAATTCTAACCCATGTGCACCTGTAAAATGTGCCCCAGACAGCAGACATGTACTTCAGGACTGCACCGAATTCAAAAAGAACTTAGTGCACTTAAGGACATGAGAATGCTTTTCACACTATATCTGCACCTGATCCTGTCATGGTGATTATGGCCTTGGACTACTTACCGCCTCAAAGAGTCAGATAGACAAACTAAGCACATACAGAACGTGGCTATGCGGGTCATTCTGGGTTGCACCAGAGACACCCCAGTGGTGTATGTGATACATCCTTGTATGCCAACGGTTGCAAATGGCACAAGACAGCAAGTCATGTACTTCAGGACTGCACCAAATTGTCAAAAAGAACTTAGTGCACTTAAGGGTGCAGTTAAGGGTCAGCGGCTGATAAGGGGGAGGTCATGAATGGCTCAGGCAGAAGACACAATCAGTCAGCTTTACATCCTTGAGAACATTAGGCGAGGAGAAGAGTGGGTCAAAGTGCCACCTGAACAGTCAGACTTGTGTAGAGTCATAATCACGCTGAGCCGGGAATGCAGAGACTGGCCAGCAGGTGCCACAGAGGTGGAAATTCAGCAATTAATTCAAAATAATGCTTGCTCAGAGGATTTGATAATTTACACAGATGGTTTAGTGTCAAGAGGCAAAACAAGTGCTTGGGGCTTCTTAGCAAAAGTTAATGGTCGACGTTTGGTGCAGAAGAGCCTAGTATATGATACCACAACATTCAGCTTAAGAATGGAGATGGAGGCGGTCACTGCAACTTTCCGCTGACACACACACACATCATGATTGTAACTGATTCAGAAAAGATTGCTGAGGAAGATCAGGACAGGTATGCTTCGTGCAGTGTGGCATGCTTCGCTGCGGAAGACACGGGTGGGGAGTATTGTCTGGATTTTTTCACCGGGCCACGCCGGTGTGTGGGAAATGAACACATGGACAGACTTGCTGGCTTTGCACAACTTGGTGGAATACTGATATATGATAGGGCAGACGTGGTTAGTGCCTTGTGGGAGAGCACGTACAATTCGGAGGAGCAGATGGATCACCACAGTCTGGTGAGATTGATGCAGCGGGGAGTGACGAGAGGTTCTGGCAGATGCTCGAGGCTCAGAGGAAAGGCAAGATGGCCGTTTCATCAGAATGCTACTGGCACCATTAGAATCGGAACTCTTCGATAGCTGCTGAAGATGGGGATGGAGTGCTTATGGGAAAGCCCGAGTGCTGTGATGTCGGTTCTTGAATCAAATCAAATCAAATCTGGTCAATAAAATTCTTTATTTTTCTTCTTCTTTTCCATCTTGTATCTCAGTGAAGTGTCAAGGGAAGATGTAACATTTGTTGAAGAGCTCTGTCAAGAGCACTATTAAGATTGATGTTCATTTCACTGTGGTAGACAGTACCAGGGCATTCTTGTCAGGTGTCCAAACCACTTCATCTGTTGTCTTTTTTTTTAATGACTGGCTTTACTCCTAGCATTCCTCTGATTTAGTGATTTCATATTCTGTCTTTCCTTGAAACTCCTGCAGCTCTGTTAAGGCATTTCATCTCTGTTGTCACAATTTTAGAGGATGTAAGTGTCCACAATTGGCATTGATAGCATAAATTGGCCAAAAAATAGTTCCGATAAGATTCACTTTAGTATTCCAGGGTTCTGCTTGTGTGTCAACAGGGTGATAGTTGCCCCATTACTTGATTAGCTTTGGCACATCTTGAGCTAATTTCTCTGTCCAGTTTTCCATCGGCTGCGAAAATTGCTCCCAAATACTTAAATTCCTCTGTTTGTCTTAAGGTGTTTTTCAATTTTATTTCTAAATTGTCTTTATGTCTTCCTATAAATTTTGTCTCTGCCTTTGTAGTGTTTATTCTCATATTATATTCCTCCCCTTTGTTATTAAATTGATTTAGGTGGTTCTGTAGGCATTCCGTACTTTCTGCGATGAGTACCTGGTTGTCGGCGAACAGTAATTCTGTAATATCTTCTTCATGATTAAAATTAATTTCCTTACCTATGGTATCCATGTATGTTATAAAAAGAAGCGGCGATAGTACACAGACCTGGCACACACTAGAGTTCACTATAAACGTACTTGATAATTTTGCCTTTTATCTTATGCAGCATTTACTATATGTGTACAGGCTTTTGCAAATATTAATGAGATGATTGCTGATTCCTTTTTTCCCCATACTTTCCCACAACATATTCCTGTCGACTCTATCAAAGGCTTTTTCCTGGTCTATGAATATCAACAAACAGGTTTTATCATGTTCTATTGCTCTCTCTGATAGCTGTCTCAATGTATAAATAGCATCTGTGCAACTTCTGTTTTGTCGAAAGCCCATCTGTGCTTCTGAAAGTTGATACTCTATCATTGGTCTTTTGATGATCTTAGCATACATTTTCCCAGTATGACTGAGAAGCAATATTCCTCTGTAATAAGTATAGTCCCTATTACTTCCTAATTTGTCCATACCGGGGCGATGACAGCAGTTTGCCAATTTGATGGTGTTTCTTAATTTTTCCAGGCCACCTGAAATATACTCTTCAACTATGTTGCTCCCTCTTGTCCTGCTGCCTTGATGGCCTCAGCTGGTGGATCATCAATGCCTGTCACCTTTAGTCCAGGGGCGATATAAATGAAATATTCTACTTCATCTAAAAATATACCAGGTTCTAGTTCCTCTGCCGTTAGTTCCGAGTTACGGCTCAACAAAGAACAAGAAATAAAGTGGTTTGGACACCTAATGCCCTGGTACTATCTGCCACAGCGAGCCATACTAAAACATTACAACAGGTATGGAGCGAGTGGAAGACCTCGGAAAAAATGGAGTGATGGCATTAAGAACAGCCTTACAAAAATGAACATCAGTCTTAATACTGCTCTTGACAGAGCTCATCAACGAACATTACATCTCCCCCCACTTTGATGAGGTACAAGATGGAAGAGAAGAAAATCTAATATGCTGCCAAATAGAAATTGTGTTCATACCGTCCACTTTCGAGAGCTTTTAAAACAATGACAATTTCATCCATGTCCATCTGGTCACTGAACCACACACCCAAGCTATCAACACGAGGTCCAATTCCTGCTTCACGTAATTCTAGTGGCTGAAAATAAATATGCAATACTTACTATTTTAGTGTAGAAAACTTTAAAAAAATATTAAACTATTTTCATTTTGTTTTGAATCAAACTTGCTTTAAAGTCTGAAATATTTGTACACTATTTGTAAGATAATCTTAAAAAAAGTTCTGGTTTTAGTTAAGGATAACTTTCATTAACCCTACCAGACCGCAGAACCGATTTTGTGGTAATTTCCTAATCTGCTGCCACAAAGCTGTGCCTAATTTTCAGTACTTTGCCTAGTATGTGAAAAAAATGCCTTACAAACTAAAAATAACCAATCAATCATGGTCAAACCTCATGGTTAGTCTTCACAAATGTCTGCTCCCATGTGTATTGAATCTATGTGGTTTAACAAGCAAAAAATGCTGAAAATTCACAATGAAAAGAGTAGCTGATGAACCAAGCACTTCAACAGGAAAGCGAAGTAGGTCTAGGCTTGTCACAGTCCAACAGGTGATCGCTACTTTGGTTGATTCAGACTCTGAGGAGTAAGAATTTCATCAAGAATGTTTCCAGTTCAAGTGACACAGACTGTGAGAGCTCAAGTGATGAGGAGAATCTGATACCTTTATAGATCTAGAGTTAGATCGATAGTAAGAGAAGGGTGGCATGTCCCTCAAACAGCAAGAAGGTGAAGAGCAACATCTGGTGCTCACTTTACAAGAAGAACCACTGTGTGAAACAAGGCTCATCCTGCTGGGTGGATTGTTGACCTATTTTCTACAACATCTCCAAGTTCCATCTTATTCTAACCACTTGTTTGCATGTAACTAACATGTTTCTATTCTATGGTTTTTTCCTGTTTAATGCTTCAGTAGCTCAGGTAAAGGAACAGTTAGGTTCAGGGCCTCAGGTCTGGTAAGGTTAAACATGGATATCTCCATAAATTCTTTAGTCTCCTCCCTTAAATCACAGGAGAAGATTCTTAACATAGTGCACAAACTTCCCAGCACCAATAAGCATCAAAATATTTGCACCCCAGAATCACTGATGCTATAAATATTCTTCTGTTGGCTGATTTTATAATTTTCATTATTTTTAGACTATTACATGTACAGTCATCAACATCCTTCGTATGCATTTAGAGAGGCTCAAATTTGAATCCTCCACTATACTCTATTGCATGCAACTTTCTTGATTTCTGACACAGACTTCAGCCCAGTGTTTTTAGCTTCTTGTAATAATGTTCTTCGTAATGTTTTCCTCAGATGTATTCTTTTTCTTAGACCATTTGTTTTCCATTTTGGTGCTTGTATTGTTAGTCTTTGCACATTTCCTCTCAGAGTATGCCCAATATACCGTCTTTGTCTTATTGCAGTCTATACAGGTATTTGTTCAGATACATCTCTATCTCCTCACTTTTTAAAAATTCATCCCATTTTATGTTCAAGATTATTTTCATTTATTTTCAAATACATTTAACTTTTATTTTATATCTTTGGTAGTTAGAACCGAAATAGCAATAGAACTAAAGATTCGTAGTTTGGTCTTAAAGCTGTATAACTTGGAGTGTAGCTTCATAGTTTAAGGTTTTTAAAGACTACTGCTTTGCCACTCATCATCATCATCATAATGCGTTGTGGGTAGGAATAATTTGCGATCTATTGCACACTGGCTGCCATTGGCTATTGTCATGCGTGAAGGCATAGAGTGTCTTGAATGTGGTCGATCCATTTTTTCCGCGCTGTCTCTTGCTCTTGTAGCTGATCTTCTGAGATGTAGTGCTTGTCATGGTATTTGATCTTGCTGCATTCTAACGAGATGGCCAACCACTTGATTCTGCTTTTTCTCTATGAATCTAGTACAAGGTGTCGTTCCCACAATTTGCCTGATAGTTTCATTATTCACTCGATCTCGGATGGTTAGGTTAGCTGCTTTTCTCAGGCATCTCATCTCGCAGGTGGTGATTTTGCATATATGGGCTTTAGATAGTGTCCATGTTTGGCACTGGTAGCCTAATGTTGGAATGAATATGCTGTTTATAATCTGTCTCTTTGCACTCATAGCTATGCTTGGATGTCTTAATAATGTTGACAACTGGTATACAAGTGCACCTGCTTACTGACATCTGGTTTCTATTTCTCTGTCAATTCGAAGACTGGCTTTGCCAATGCGTATCATAATTTTCTTTGTTGTATTTCCTTGAGAATCAAAATTGCTATCCAAACAGGTGAAATTATCCATTACTTTGACTGCTTTGTTCTCTAGCATGACATCTACAAGATCTGTTGTTGGTATCTTTAATATATTTGTTTTCTCATAACTTATTTGTAGTCCTATTGTTGATACTGTAGATGACAAATCGTCTGTTTTTCTTTGCATGTCTTTGTTATTTTTACATAACAGAACAATATCATCTGCAAAATCCAGATCTTCCAGTTGTCTTTTATCTACCCTTAATGCCAGTATTGCCTTTGCAACATTTTCTCATTACCTAATCAATAGCTACTCCAAACAACATGGGAGATAGAATGCAACCTTGTTTCACTCCAGTTTCCACCAGCTGAGCGGTTGTCAGTTCTCAGTGTGTTCTAGAATAAGTCTTAGGGTAATTATTTGATCCAGACAGCTACTTCAAGTTTGAAAACCAGATTGTTCTTTTCTCATGACTCTATCAACTGCTTCTTTAATTCTATTGTGGATTGCTTTGCAAAAGATTTTTGACATACCATATAATAAGTTACTTCCTCTCCAAGTGTTGCAGTCATTAGGATTACATTTTTTGACAGGATTTTCACAATTAATCTTTTCTTCCATTGTTCTGGAACTGTTTTCTCTTCCCATATTTTGTTAAACAGTTCTAGCACTTGCTGGATAGTTTAACTGCTCATCTAAGCATTTCTGCTGTAATATAATCATCACTATCATCTTGTTATTTGCTTGGGTATGTATTGTTTATATTTTTTTTTATTTCTGTAAAGTCAAAATTAACCCACCCCCCTTTCCCCCCTATACCCATTTATGGAGAGTGTGGCTCTTTCTGTCTTCTTCAAACTTCATTCAATCTAGTGGGTCAGGCATGTTTGAGGTTTCCATGAGATTTTCTTGCCCATCTCTTCTTCTGCTCAGCATCAGATGTGAGCTCAGGGCCATCTTTGTTTTTGATTAGACAACTTATTGCTTTGAATGTTTCAGTTAGTTTTTTAATGTATTGTAAAGTATTTTGCTATTTCCAACCTTAGCCGTCCGTCCCCTTCTTCAGCTAGTTTATCAACATATGCTCTTTTATCTTTTCTTGCAGTACTTTTTATTTGCTCGTCTCTTTTCCTATAATTTTCCTTATCTGTAATTTCATCCTGTGTTATCTTAGCATTACCTATTGCAAGTTTTGCTGACTTTCTATTCTAAATGCACTTCCAGATGTCACCACTTATTAATGGTTTTCTATCGCTAGTCTTTAATCTTGCACTACCATTAGCTGCCTTCAAGATCATGGTCTTTATATTGTTCCATTTATCTTCAATGTACTGCTCTATCTCATCTTGTACACATGTACAGTGGAACTCCTATATTCGTCATTAATTAATTTCTGAGGGAAGAATGAAAAATTTAAAAAAAAATGAATACCAAACTAATTTTTTCCCCACAAGAATTAACTAAAAATGGTTTAATCCGTACCCAGCCTCGAAGTTTGCCTATCTATCCCCCCCCCCCCTTTCCCTAAAGTAAAATGAAAACTAATCTAAAAAAATCACTTCATATACATTTTAAACTTGAAATTTAAAAAAAAAATTAAAAACTGTCACAGCTGTCCGTTTTACCACTTTTTATGGCAATGTAGATAGAGGGTTGTGAGCCCGAGGATTTAGTGTCGCATGGTTAGTGCTGTCACCACGGACTGTGCAGGTAGAATGTTTATTTTTGCTGTCACAGGAAAAATCCATTACCTTACGGGGGGGTTGAATTGGGTCTCCCACATGAGAGCCGAGGTTGTAACCACTAGGCCAGCTGCTCCTCAACATTTTAATTACATATTAATCACTGTACTTTTTACTGATGTATCAATATACTTGTCCCGCTGATGTAAATATACTCTTGGCTGTTTGCTGCTGTTTCTCATCGTAAATCTTGATGTTCTTAGCTTTTTTGCATATTACAGCTTCTGAAACTTTATCGCCAGCCATTAGCTTTTCAGTTATCTTTCTTTATTTCTTTTGTCGCCTCACTAATACCAGTGTCTCTGCATTTGACTTGCACTTCTCGGGTGGCTTAAGTGATGAATTTATTCATCTTTTTGCAGGTTTCAGCTACACCATTTATCCATCTCTTTCTTGGTCTTCCTCTCGCCTTCCTCCCAGATATTCTACTGTAAAAGTAAAATGTTTTTAGTTATCCACACTAATAAAAGCCGTTCAATATCTTCTCCTTCTTCTGTGTTTATCTGAAGATGTAACTGCACTGTGCCCATTTACAAAATTTGCGCCTTTCGGCCAACAAATTCACCTTCTGCAGGCATTTGTTGTCAGGGTTCCATATTATCAAACTTTAGAAGCAAGAACTGTTCCACCTTTTGTGACTTCAGCTAACCTAATAGCATCTTTTATTTTTTAGTATGCTAGCTATAGTAGTTCTTGGCCTATTAAATTCTTTTGCTTAACTGTTGAGACATGTAACATTTTCAAATTTATCTTTTTTTAATTCAATGGTGGTTCTCACTGCTTTCATTTATTGTCTTTGCACTTTTTACAATTCATAATCATTTACAGTACTGAATTTATATATTTTTTTAAATGTAATAACTCATAATAAAAAAAGAAAAAAGAAATGAAGTATAAAATAACAGTTAATGCTTGCATTTTTAGTCACCACTCGAGACTGGGCCAAACGACGATCATGTGACTAGACTGCCATGTCAGAGAAGGGAAGAATGTTGACTTTTCAAGTAAATATATGGCGTAAAACAAAAATGAAAAAAAAAATTATTACAGACGAATATTGGCTGAGCAAATATTGCAGTTTCACTGTACTGTGTTCCCAAGGCCTTCTTGTGATTCACTCTTGTCTGAGACACTTAGCTGATGAATTTAATCCCAAGGGTTACAGAAGTTTTAAGTTACTTTCTTTTTAGTAAAAATTTAAACAGCCCACAATGTAAATCTTGCTGTGTCAGAGCTAAATATGGCTATTGCAACCACTAGAACTAAATCTTATTTAAACAGACACAGATATCACCCAGTCAAAGACCACCTTCCCAATAAATATTCTTTGGATGCAATGAATCTCCAACAGCCTGTCTCTTATTTTGGTTGCACACTATGTAAGACTTCTGTTAACTTTAAGAGGGAGGCAAGAGAGAGTGAGAGAGAGAGAGAGAGAGAGAGAGAGAGAGAGAGAGAGAGAGAGAGAGAGAGAGTGTGTGCATACATACATGTGTGTGTGTGTGTGTGTGTGTGTGTGTGTGTGTGTGTGTGTGTGTGTTTGGGTGAGTGTGGAGGATCAGCATGAGGAGGCTAGACAAGTTTCTGCATTAACAAGTTATAATGAAGTATTATTTAGGCATCCCCTATGTCAGGTCTTGGTCAGATATGACTGAGCTACCGTGTAACAGTAGTCAGCCCTACCTGTTCTCTATTAATGCCAAATGTGTATACCAAACTTGACATCCCACACTGTGCTAACGGCTTTATGTGGACAGACAGGTAGACAAACAGTGCACTTTGACAGCATTGACAAGGAATCTCTTTCACAACTGTGACAAAAAGGAAGAACAAAACAATTTAAAATAAACCATTAAAAAATGGTACTTGCACTGAATAGGACTAAACTAGCATGGCCAAAGTCACTAATGCTGGGGAGAATTATACAAATACTGGGAATAGACAAAAAGTATGTTAATAAAAATGATGTTACATAAAAATTAGAAAGTAGACACAGGAAAAACAAAATTACACCCACAAAACTCTAGATGGTGATCCGTAGCTATAATCAGATTTCAGGCACTATAACTAATTATTGACAATACAGGAAGGCCACTAACAGATTCACCAGAAAGAACAGAAAATATCAAAGGAATACTTTAATGAGCTTTTTAACCCCCTAGGAGATCACCAGGAAAGAACAAGGCAAGACCATTCAGTAACAGTACTAGAACCAGATATACTAAAGGATCAAGTAGAAAAAGTCATTCCCAAATACAAAGCATCAGAAGCTGATAGTTACCAACAGAAATAAACCAAGCAGCAGGAAAAGGAACATAAGATGGCTTTACAGAATATTTAATGCAGAATGGGTACAACAAACTGCACCCATTGACTGGTAACATACCACTGTGGAAGAACAAAAGTAGCAAGTAAGAATGCAGTCATTACCGAGGTATCTCTATTTTAAATCATGTTGGCAAAATGTATGCCAAGATAAGACAAATAAGGCTGAGACAGAGACAGAACCACATCTGGCAGAAGAACAGATAGGATTTTGAAGAAATGAAAGCTGCACAGATACATTGTTCACTATTAATCAGTTAACCGAAAAGAACATTGAATACAATAGGAACTTACACCTCATCAGGGTGTGCACAAGACTATATAGGAATTATAGAAGGGTAGTTAGAATAAAAAATGGGACATGTAAACCATTCACAGTAACAATAAGAGAAGAATGTGTGTTATTCCCATTGTTGTTGTTTATCATCTACATCAACAGTGTATGCAAGGAGGCCAAGCCCAGGAATAAAAAAAAAAATAACATCAATGAATTTGACTTTGCTGATAACCAGACCTTGACAGCAGATACAACCACAAAATTTCTACATCTCACATCCAGTAATGAAAAATGCAAAACAAATAATATGAGAATCAATAATTAAAAGACAGAAGTAATGTCAATATGAAGAAAGAAACAGAACCTAAATATAGTAGTAGTGAGCAAAAACATTAAACAGACACTGGGTTGAAATATCTTGGAACAATATTTACTTAGGATGGTAAATTGGATGAAGAAATTGACATCCAATGCAGCCCCTTCTCCTACAGCTTAAGACAATCCTAATCAGCACAAAGAAACATCTCACACAAAGCATATTCATTTCCACCTTATGCTATTGATTTGATTTGATTTGATTCAAGAACCGACATCACAGCACTCCGGGCATTCCCATAAGCACTCCGTCCCCATCTTTCGCAGCCAGCAAAGAGTTTCGATACTAATGGTGCCAGTAGTATTCTGATTAAATGTCCGTCTTGCCTTTCCTCAGAGTCTCGAGCATCTGCCAGAACCTCTCGTCACTCCCCACTGTATCAATTTCACCAGACTGTGGTGATCCATCTGCTCCTCCGAACTGTACACACTCTCCCACAAGGCACTAACCGCGTCTGCCTTATCATGTATCAGTATTCCACCAAGTTTTGCAGAGCCAGCCAGTCTGTCAGACTGTTCATTCCCCAATACACCGGCGTGGCCCGGTGAAAAAATCCAGACAATACTCCTCACCTATGTCCTCCGCAGCAAAGCATGCCACTCTGCACGAAGCATACCTGTCCTGAGCCGTCTGTGTAAATTATCAAATCCTCTGAGCGAGCATTATCTTGAATTAATTGCTGAATTTCCACCTCTGTGGCACCTGCTGGCCAGTCTCTGCATTCCCGGCTCAGCGTGATTATGACTCTACACAAGTCTGACTGTTCAGGTGGCACTTTGACCCACTCTTCTCCTCACCTAATGTTCTCAAGGATGCAAAGCTGTCTGATTGTGTCTTCTGCCTGAGCCATTCATGATCTCCCCCTTATCAGCCGCTGACCCTTAACTGCACCCAGAGCTTCATGCAGAGGGTGGTCTGTGTCTGCAGCTACCCTGAGATATGACTTCGCCTGCAGCACCTTGTGCCTGCCTGCAACCGTTGGCAAACCAAGGATGTAACGCATACACACCACTAAGGTATCTCTGGTGCAACCCAGAATGACCCGCATAGCTGCATTCTGTATGCGCTCTAGTTTATCCATCTGACTTTTTGAGATGGTAAGCAGTCCCAGGCCATAATCAACCACTGACAGAATCAGGTGCTGATATAGTGTGAAAAGCATTCTCTGCTTTATGTCAATTGCAGCCATAGTCTCAAGTGCACTAAGTCCTTTTTGGCATCTCGTCACAACACGCTCCACATGGTCCTTAAATGACAGGCTCCTGTCAAATGTAATTCCCAGATACTTCAGTTGGCTCTCTCTGTTGACTTTTCTACCATCTATCAAGAGACTTGGGAAATTAGCTTTAACGATTCTGTTGCCCAAAGTACACCACAAAACAGACGCCTTTTCGGGGTGGACGACAGCTCTTATTTCTGTACACCACTCAGTCACTTTGTCTACTGTCGCTTGTAGCTCCCGGGCTGTTTGTTCCCTCTCTTCCCCTGCCTATATGCAAGTATATCATCCGCAAAAGTCAGTATCCTTCCAGGCTTGCAATCTTGCTCGTATACACGTTAAAGAGCACAGGCGAGATCTCTGTGGCAGTCCTTGGGCTAAAGTGCATGGTTCTGAGGTCCATGAGCCCAGTCGGAGAGCAACCCGACGTGAATACAGGACAGCTGCAACCCAATTCACTAGCCATGGACTGACCTCCTTTTCCCTCAGTGCGGTCATTAAGATGTCGTATCTCACTCTGTTATAAGCATCCTCAAGATCCAGCCCTACAGCCATAGTTTCCTGTCTGTTCTGGAACCCTTCATAGATGTCAAAAGCAAAAGTGCCCGCATTTGCCCAAGTGTCCTTTCCTGGCTTGTAGCTTTAAAACCTACTTCCCCTTTCCATTTTGTAGCTTTACAGCAAAATTATAGTGTGTTTTAAAGTGATGAAAAGCCACTGAGCTAGAAAAAAAAGGTTTTTTACCTGTGATACATATTCCAACGGATTAAAACAGCAGGTCTACATGTAAATGGTTTAAAACACTGATTTAGAAAGAAAAATTATAGTGGTATACTGGAAATGTAGAAAAAATTTTTTACCTGATACATATTCCAACGGATCAGCATGTAATGGTAACACTGAAGGAAGAGGAGTTTTGTAGCTGTATTTAGTGATGATAAGGCAAATATAACATCTGCTGCAGTTGCTGACATATGTTATTTTGTAAAAAAAAAACTGAATCTCTACACTATTGCCAGAAAACTCACCACGTAAAGAGCTTGCAATACAGCAAGGCTTGCAACAATCCCAGCTTTCTCAAACCTCGGATCCAAAGGACATACTAACAGTGGACGTTTACTCCCAGCACTTAAGGCTCTACACAAATCAAATAAATCAGATACATTACTGCACACTAACTTCTCTCAATAAAAGTATCATTTTCTTTGCTTCTGATCTGACATTGGAGCTAAATATACTATATGAGAGGGGAGTAGCTTAGAGGTTACAAAGTCAGTATCTGATTCTCTCTCTCTCTCTCTCTCTCGCCCGTGCACACACACAAAATGATATATTTTCGATAATTGGTTAGTAACTCAGGCAGGTAGGCTTTTGGGACAAAGGTGAAAAACTTGGAGAAAAGTGTGCACACTACATAAAATACAAATCTCTTGGAAGTTAAAAATTATAAAATGCAGGCCAAAATGGTCTATGAGTATTTGTCGCCAACCCCCGTGGGTAAATACACTTTTATAGTGAGTGTGTGGGTTTGAACCCTAACAGCGCCCACCCATGTGAGAAACCGGACTAATATCTAAGCTATGTTGATCCTAGACAGTCCTGGATAACCAAGGAAACAGCGAATGGCTCATTCCATTAAATGAAAGTAGCTGTACTTGTATCCACAGGAGTAGGAGAAGGAATAGATAGATATCAAGATGAACCCAATGAGATAATATCAAGATACACAGTTAACACCTCCGACTTTCTCCTCTCTAGGTATTAATTTGTAACAAAAGCCCCCATCAAGTGATTTACATATTTGTGAGCTAAGTAAACTAGTATGCACAAAGACACTTGAACCTAAGTAAACAATTTACTCAACTATTTTATAACAACATAAACAGGATTTATTGAATAAATCTAACTAAAAATAAAATGAACGTGTTTAGGCTAGTAGAGTGAAGATGGTGTTACTGATGAAATTATTTCATATGAAAGTTATACATAACTCATAAAATTTGAGAAAATAAACTCTGACAGTTCTCAATTTGAGACCCTGCCTATCCTTTTTCAGTTTGTCGTCCTCACTGCTTCAAGCAGGTCGTTACACACAGACAGTCGGCAAAGAATGGATGCCAACTAGTCCCTGAATAATGTAGGAACTGGAAAATTAAAACACAATGCCAAAAGCCTAGGGTTTAAGCCCAACAGATGGTGTGCTGATGGCAGAATCTCACTCCCCAGCCCTAGAGTCCTCCCTTTTATAACTTCTTTTAAGCTCCTCCTACATTACTCCTAAAACCACTCTCATTCAAGGATGTCAAAGCTCCTCCCTGTAGGTAAGTCTATTCACTGTCAGTCAGGACTGTACAACACTTGTTTGCACTCCCACAGTTACATTATCCAGGTCCATCAAGCTGGCCAGAGCTCATAAGCAAGGTCACACACACCTTTTATCCCTTCTTCAACCTGCCAGGTTCTGTTAACACCTTCAGCAGACCATGTCAAAACTGGCAATCTGACCTGCACTCAAGTGGGGTAACCTCAGGGGGAGATAATCTCAATTAGCCTGAGTTATCTGCTCCTAAAGGTCTGGCTAGGAGATAATTATCTGACACCTCAGTTCTTCAAGCAAAATCTCCAGCCACTAAGTCTGAGCTTTCAATTTCACTGGTGCCACATAGTCTATCTGGTCAGTTTTATCTGTACCTTAACACTTTACATCTGGGAAAAAAGTCTCAGTGTTTGATATCACCAGCAGTCCAGGAGAATTATACATGTTTGTTTGGTAGTCGACTTAGATTTAGGACATATCCAAATCCCTATTTTTCTGTATACTTTAAAATACATAGAAATAAAATTAGGTTGAGAAAAGACATATTCTGAAGTCACCGAGCATGTCATCACAGTATTACTGATTTCTTAACAGACATTTTTTTTGTTTTTTTTTTTTTTTGTTTTGAGTCTGCAATTTCTTTATAATCCTCACCTGCTTCTTCAACCAATGTCACTAGTTGCTCAATGTACTCTTAAGCTGATCTGTACATATAACTGGGTCTGGTCATTACATTTAATATGTAGCCTGGCCAGGTATCTCATGGGGAACTATAGCCAAAGAGGTGGATAATAAGACCAATAGTTGAAGTGGCAATGTTTATTAAACTCTCTTTTTATTACTTGTTCAGTTGTTCAAACCTCAAATTTTTTTTTCTTGTATTTGTGACTTTTGTATGATAAAAGGGTCATCTTCTTTTGCAACAAAACCTTCACAATCTATTTTGTCAATTTATGCGCTAGACGATGGACTATCTGACAAATCCAGCTGTCATGAAACACTTCTATATCATCTGGAAGGAGATATGAGAGGGAGGAATCATGACCTTATAAACTGATGGTAACAATAGCATATGAGTAGTCTCTTTAAGCAACACTCCCTGATACAAACTGGGGAAGAAAACTGATCCACATTGCAAACTCTTTCCAAACACTCACCATTGTTTCTTTAAGAGTCTGATTCGACACTTTGTTTAGTTCTTAATGACAAAATAAAGTAGGCACAAAAACTACAGCAAAGTATACATACACACTGCCGTTTAAGATTGGTTAGTCACGTTACAGAAAGTAAATTACTATTATGTATAAAAGTCCAGGTAGTCAACAAAAGGAGATGGTCAACACAAAGATGTGTGTGTGTATGTGTGTGTGTGTGTATATTTATATATTATATAGCCTACATAATCCGCCTTTCTATGTATGTAACATTATTTTGAAGTCAAAGTAGATACATTTGGAGCATAAACATCATGACTGCTGTTACTGTCTGTTACAATGTTGTCAAACAATTCAGACTGCCATTTGCAAAGTTATACGACACTTTAGTTGCCAGTTTTCAATGTCTAAAACTTTGGATGGTATTATAACATTTATTTATGTAAAATTATAAAAAAAGTAAGCCTTACCTTCAATTTACAACCAGTGCGCTTGAATCGCTCAAGTATCAGTGTTGTTATTGAAATAAAGAAATGTATGGTTGTAATGCATACAATTTGTACTGCATTAAAAATTCTTACTATTAATGGACCACAGTTTCTGTTGCAAGTAAAGTATACTTGATGTTTCTAAGCTGTGAGGGTAAAAAGACAACAGAAAACTAAATAAGAGAACTGATTAAAAAAAAAAAAAAAAAAACCTTTTGATACCAGCCTCTGCAGCATCTGCATAGCGTCTTACATCATCATAATCTCTGTCAAGTGGTCCAGTTGCAGAATATATCTAAGTTCAGAAAGTTGAGGGGAAAAACACACAAATATGTTACACAATTATAAAACCAGTGTAACTAGTGTAAACAGACTTAGCATGAAGTAATTAGAAATAAAATAATTAGATTAACTGCAAGCTTCAAGAATCCTGTACATGCAGAAATTAATGAGATGTCAAACATGAGAAACAGATTTTTCAGGGAAATACAGGTTGTTTATGCTTTGCAAACCAACTGAGATTTCAAGCATATCCTGTATATATCTCATTATTTGAAAGTATGAATCAAATATTAGCCCAAAACCCTGCCAAAGAGTGCTGAAAAGTTCTTATTCTGTTTTAATTTCTTATGGCTGCTTTTTAAAGTGAAATATATGTTTTTTTTGAAATTCAGATATAGGTTTCTTTTATTCTCAGATGTTTCCCAACTAAGATTGAGTTTTCCAATATTCTAATAGTTAGTTCATGTTTCACCTTATCTTTAGTGCAGTAAATCATTATCATCATCCCATAACACTATGTGTCGTTGGGTAACTAGTTTCTGTTGACTGATCAGTTCTGTCCACCTTTGGCAGTCAGTTGCGATGGACTTCATGGCTGCATGCCTGAAGCCTGTCCAGTCAGTCAGGTTCTGTAACCAGGTCTTTCTTGGTCTGTCTCTTCTCCTCTTTCCCTTTACTGAGCCCGGCAGTATTGTTACAGAGAGGCCATTAGATCTTATTACATGTCCATACCGTTGCATTTTTTTACTTTTCACTGTGGTTAAAAAAAGTTCATAGTTGCCAATGTGCTGTATAATTTTATGGCGAACTTCCTCGTTTGTAATGTGGTCTCTGTATGATAAGCCAAGAATTTTTCTGAAACATCATGTTTCTGATGCTTGTATTTTTCTTTCAAGTTCAGTTGTTATTTAAACCCTGGCGGGGCCCACTCCTCTCAGGTGGCCATTTCCCCATTAGATACACGGATACAGTTTCCAGTCTGCTCCACAGGGAGGTGGGGTTGGCTTGTTTGATCACGGGACAGCAGCAGGCTACTAATTTTCACTTTTCACCCTCATAGGAGAGTTAGCTGCCCCCAACACTACTGGCTGCAGTGCCAGGCGTGACCACACCTTACAGACCAAGAGTGTGCAGTAAATAAAGCACAAATACTGATCTCTGTTCATTTCAATCATTCTTTCTATAATTGTTCTCAAGATGTATATGGTCTTGTTTGTGCTTTTACCTTCCATAAATCCATGCTTCTCATTCCTAATTTCTGGCTAATTTTATATCAACCTTTTCCATAATTATTGTGGATATTTTCCTCAATGACTCATTACACTAACATGATGTGTGATGTCCTATAAAATCTACTGCATACCAGATTTCTCATGAAAGAGATATGAAGATAATATATTTAAAAAGGTCATCACTTGTATATGTTTGTGCATGTGCATACTTACATACAAGCATGCACACGCGCATACTTACACACAAGCATGCACACGCACATATACACATTTGTTATTAACATAATTATAGCACTTAGAGATAGTTTAGAGTTAGATTGTTACATTTAGAAGATCCAGCATTAGTTGACATGGAAACCCCACAGACAGGAACACCCCCTTCTCAACTAAGTGTGAATTACATGGGTCACAATGGTAACACGAGTGCCTGTTCCTGATGACAAGTTTCCAGGAATTAGTAGAATGGAGAAGGTACAGACCAAACCGGACACCGACAGGGTAACTTCAACACTGAATGGATCAGATGCATAAATGTGAGAGAGCAACAAATAAAACAACATGCTGAAAAAGGTATTTCACAGATGAAAACTAGTGTTAGCTGGAGAGCTTTGGCCGTTTGATTGTGATCAACAATACACATTTTATAACTTCTTAAAGAAAAAGGCGGTGAGAACTTTGATGTAAGTAGTTACAGATTTCAAAAGACAACTGTGGTAGATAGGAAGGTAAGTTGTACCCCACCAGGATATCACACTAGGGATAAACACCCGGTGACACAAGGTGTCACCATACGGATGAGGATCACTTGCGGAGAGGTCCCGGAAACCCCGTTTAATCGTTAGGCCATATTTATGCCTGGCTATGTTTAGGGCTCCTGGAAAAAGCCAGGGAGGGGCCTCAAAATAACGAAAAATTGCATCCCACATGGGGACGACACTTAGTGTTAGTTGTAACTGTGGTACATGTGTTTGTAGATAAATGGGTCAGACCTACTGAGAGTAGTCGATGAAACCAACATTCCTCAAGACTGAACAGAGCTGCGATAGAGACAACAGAGAGCAGATGTATTTAAACAGTTTCCACCCTACCCTGTCTAGACTTCAGGTTACTTTGTAACCATTTGGGGCAATAAAATTTAATCTTACAGTTGAACAGGGTTTCTGAGATTTGTACATGGGGATTTTCATCTGAACGGTGGCACTTTGCATCACTGTGTATTAATCGCTCAGTGTGTGGTCCTGGTGGGGTTAAACTTCAGTCACTCACACAGGAGTAGATATGGCTCCACCAAGCTCTTCTGCTTCTTTTGTTATCTCACTGTTACCAGGTTGTAACCCAGTGTCGCGGGTTTCTGTATTTGCCTTGCACTTTTCGGGTGGCTTAAGTGAGGGACCAAGCTCTAAGGTTTGATAATTTAATTAGTTCAGGTGGTAACTCGGAGGGGGGTGGGGGGAATTTAGAATGAAATTGCATGATAGAATCATTAATGTGAAACTGTGAGAGATAACTAATACAATTCCAGTGAGTCAGGAGGTGGACACAAATGCTTTTTAGGACACATGCTGAGAAAACACTGCAGCCCCCAGGGGCACAGGCAGACCAAAAAACACATGGTAAAGGGATCTAGAAAATGAAGCTGAAAATACTGAGCTGCATGCAATATCAAAGGATAGAACAACATGGGGTGAGTTGGTTGAGGGCCTAAACACCATGAGGTGATAAAGAGGAGAATGAAGAGAAGGAGGAATGTTGAATATTGAATTAAAAAACAACATCGTAGCACTCAGGACACTCTGTAATGATCTTTTTGCGCTTCCACACTGTTCACTCGCTCCCAGAGGGCCCTCACAATGTCTAGCATGTCATACATCAATTCACCACCAAGTGGTGTAGAACCGGCCAGTCTTTCTGCCTGCTTATTTCCTAACACACCGGCATAACCTGGAGAGAATATCCAAAGGATGCTAACTACCCATGATGCTTGCCACTCTGTAGGGAGCATACCTGTCTCCACCTTTCTCAATATGCTCTGTGAGCCAGTTACAATCATGGAATGTAGGTAAAGCATATTCTCAAGCCAGCGGAATGCAGCAGTGACTGCCTAAACCTCCATTCTCAAATTAGACGTTGTGAAATCATATGCCAGGCTTTGCTGCATTAAGCAATGTCCATTCGCTTTTGCTATGAACCCCCATGCACTACGTCTGCCTCTAAACACAGAGCCATCTGTATAGATAATCACATCACTTGGGCGGGAACTGACATGAATCATTTGTTGAACTTCTGATTCTGCAGCGCCAGCTGACCAGTCCCTGCACTCACAACCCTGAGTGATAAGAACCCTGCACAAGTCTAAAACTTGCTCGGACACTTTGATCCACTCCTCACCTAGCACACATTTATCAAGCCTGCACACAAGTCTGATTGTGTCTTCAGCTTGCACCATCCAAGACCTTCTTCTTTTGTCTGTGACCCTTAGCTCTACCCAGGGCTTCATGCAAGAAGTGCTTCTTGTCTGCAGCTACTCTGAGATATGACTTAGCTTGCAGAACATTGAGCCTATCTGCAGTAGTATACAGTGCAAGCATATATTGCATACATACTACAGAGCCATCTCTTGTACATCCCAGAATTACCTGCAGGGCTTCATTCTGTATGCGTCAAAGTTTCATCAGCTGGCTCTCTGATATGGTAAGCATTCCAAGTTCATAATCTATCATCTACAGGATCACATGCTGGAACACTGTGAACAGCATTTTTTCTTTCATGTCCATTGCTGCCATAATCTTGAGAGCATTAAGTCCTTTTTGGCATTTCACCACAACTGCCTCCACATGATCCCTGAAGGACAGGCTTCTATCGGAAATTATACCTAGGTACCTCCGTTTGCTTTCTCTTTTGATGTTCCTGTTATTAACTGTGAGGCTTGGAAAATTAGCTCTTACAATTATATTGTCCAGAGAGCACCACAAAACAGCTGCCTTTTCTGAGTTTATGACAGCACCCATTTCTGCACACCAGTCAGTCACTTTGTCTACAGTTGCCTGTGGCTCTTGAGCTATTAATTTCCTATTACTCCCCTGCTCATATGCAAGAGCATCATCAGCAAATGTCAATATCTTTCCAACACCTGGTGCCTCAAGTTCTGCAATCTTGCTTGTATACACACTGAAGAGCACTGGTGAAATTGCAGAACCCCAGGGTAGTCCCAGGGTGATATTACATGGTTCCGAGGTCCATGTACCCAGGCGAAGAGCAATCATACGTGAATGCAGGACAGTTGCTATCCAGTTCATAAGCCAAGGACAAACCCCCTTCTCCATGAGTGGCCGGTAAATACCCAAACCTTCTGGCAGGAGCTATTACCTTTCCAAAAACATTTGTAGTTTAACAGCAATAATCTTCTCAAGCACCTTGCCAAAAGTATTTTGTAGGGTGATAATCCTGAAACCGCTGAGTCTGGAATGACCTTTGCCTGGTTTTGTAAGTGGGATTAGGTAGCTGTGTACCAAATCCTGGGGTACTGAAGCTATTCTGATGCTCTGGTTGAAATGAAAAGCCATCTCCCTCAAGTCTTCATCACTCATGCTCTTCATCATACCTGACTCTGTATGGCCCCGGTGCAGTATCTTTTGTTTTTTGCAATACATATTTTATATCCTTCACCCTAATGATAGTTATCCCTTATAGTGTTGGACAGATTAACTCTAACTGAATTTCTAAGCTCCCTATCACTTTGATCAGTTTGGAATATAAATCTCTTCAAAAACGCTTTCCCTTTCTCTTTGTCTGTTGTGACTTGCTTATCATAATCAGTGTATATAATGCTTATTGTGACAGACCAATCCTTCCTTTGCATCTGTCTGTGAAGTTTCCAAAACCTACCCAGTGATTTATCCCCTCTAATTTTGCTCATAAAATGTTCTAATTTAGCCTTTTTTGCATCTGCTGCACACTACTTGAACTCTTCTACTTTTTTCTTTTCAATCTCTTTCTAGTTTCTCTGCATCCTTTTGTATCCTGTAAGGTGGTTTTTGCACTTTCTGTAATTGCTTAAGTGCCGCTCGCTTTGCTCTCCATGCCTGTTCTACTTCTTGGGTCCACCATGGAGGCAGCACAAAGCAGAGAAGGGGGTTCTGCTGCATACCTTCTGTCGGAGGCGTCCAAGAAGTGTACTGTCCCTCTCATACTTTAAAGTCCTGCACTTTCTCGCAGCCCTGATCTTACTAGCCTTAGAAGACAAAACTGAGCATGGCAAATAGTCACTCCCATGATCGCCTAAGACACTCTGTTTTGTTTCCAGCACTGCTGACTGGGTAACAAAAGCCAAATCAATAGCTGTGTCTGCATCACCAGGTCTCATTGTCATTCTAAATGGCCTACTGTTGTTTCTACAGACTTTGTCTGCTAAAGCATTTCCTTGTCTATTTTCCCCAGTGGGAGGAGGAGGAGAAGAAGACTAAAAGACATCAGATATAAACAACGGAGAATGGAGAGTGAAAAGCAACAATTAAATTATTCATTTGTTTAAATCATCAATAATTACATTATAGAATCATAAGGACTAGTAGACTGTGATGTATGGGGCATACAGAGAGAGTGACAGATAAAAAGGAGACAAAAAGTGCACAAACAAAAGAGCTGAATGAGACTAGATCTTTAAGTAGACCTAGGACAGTGGAGAGATAATATATATGGAAACCTAAAAACATTTGGAGTCACCAGATTGAAATGTTATGTTATCACATTCAACTTCATTGGACATTCTCATGCGTGCTTAGTTCTGCATTGCAGTAGCCGGCCAAAGGTATCTCTACTGATTGTTCCTGAAGTTGGCTTTAATATATTTTGTGTATTACTCTGTATATTCTTATGATGTCTTCTCACACACACAAGCATGCAAGCACACATCTATATATATATACGCACATACAAGCACATGCATGTATGTATATTCCAATCAGAGAAATGAATGAAGGTGGGCAATGAGCATCAAGGGCTTGGAATGCTCAAGAAGAAGAAGAAGAAGATTGAGAAGAAGAAGAAGAAGAAGAAGATTGAGAAGAAGAAGAAGAAGAAGAAGAAGAAGAAGAAGAAGAAGAAGAAGAAGAAGAAGAAGAAGAAGAAGAAGAAGAAGAAGAAGAAGAAGAAGAAGAAGAAGAAGAAGAAGAAGAAGAAGAAGAAGAAGAAGAAGAAGAAGAAGAAGAAGAAGAAGAAGAAGAAGAAGAAGAAGAAGAAGAAGAAGAAGAAGAAGAAGAAGAAGAAGAAGAAGAAGAAGAAGAAGAAGAAGAAGAAGAAGAAGAAGAAGAAGAAGAAGAAGAAGAAGAGAAGAAGAAGAAGAAGAAGAAGAAGAAGAAGAAGAAGAAGAAGAGAAGAAGAAGAAGAAGAAGAAGAAGAAGAAGAAGAAGAAGAAGAAGAGAAGAAGAAGAAGAAGAAGAAGAAGAAGAAGAAGAAGAAGAAGAAGAAGAAGAAGAAGAAGAAGAAGAAGAAGAAGAAGAAGAAGAAGAAGAAGAAGAAGAAGAAGAAGAAGAAGAAGAAGAAGAAGAAGAAGAAGAAGAAGAAGAAGAAGAAGAAGAAGAAGAAGAAAGAAGAAGAAGAAGAAGAAGAAGAAGAAGAAGAAGAAGAAGAAGAAGAAGAAGAAGAAGAAGAAGAAGAAGAAGAAGAAGAAGAAGAAGAAGAAGAAGAAGAAGAAGAAGAAGAAGAAGAAGAAGAAGAAGAAGAAGAAGAAGAAGAAGAAGAAGAAGAAGAAGAAGAAGAAGAAGAAGAAGAAGAAGAAGAAGAAAGAAGAAGAAGAAGAAGAAGAAGAAGAAGAAGAAGAAGAAGAAGAAGAAGAAGAAGAAGAAGAAGAAGAAGAAGAAGAAGAAGAAGAAGAAGAAAGAAGAAGAAGAGAAGAAGAAGAAGAAGAAGAAGAAGAAGAAGAAGAAGAAGAAAAGAAGAAGAAGAAGAAGAAGAAGAAGAAGAAGAAGAAGAAGAAGAAGAAGAAGAAGAAGAAGAAGAAGAAGAAGAAGAAGAAGAAGAAGAAGAAGAAGAAGAAGAAGAAGAAGAAGAAGAAGAAGAAGAAGAAGAAGAAGAAGAAGAAGAAGAAAGAAGAAGAAGAAGAAGAAGAAGAAGAAGAAGAAGAAGAAGAAGAAGAAGAAGAAGAAGAAGAAGAAGAAGAAGAAGAAGAAGAAGAAGAAGAAGAAGAAGAAGAAGAAGAAGAAGAAGAAGAAGAAGAAGAAGAAGAAGAAGAAGAAGAAGAAGAAGAAGAAGAAGAAGAAGAAGAAGAAGAAGAAGAAGAAGAAGAAGAAGAAGAAGAAGAAGAAGAAGAAGAAGAAGAAGAAGAAGAAGAGAAGAAGAAGAAGAAGAAGAAGAAGAAGAAGAAGAAGAAGAAGAAGAAGAAGAAGAAGAAGAAGAAGAAGAAGAAGAAGAAGAAGAAGAAGAAGAAGAAGAAGAAGAAGAAGAAAAAGAAGAAGATGAAGATGACGAAAAATAAAAGAAGAAGACGAAGAAGAAGAAGAGAAGGAGAACAAGAAGAATAGGAGGAGGAGAACAAGAAGAAGAAGGTGACTAATTGGTGAGAAACATTTAATTGGTTTCATTATATGAAATTTTACATCACTGTTTATATTACTGGATTTTTTAAGCTGAAATTTTACATCGGTTTTGGTGTCTATTTTTGAGTGAGTACTGGGAGTACAATAATAGCTTTCAGTGAACAGAGACAATTATTTTCTCACATATTAAGTAATACTTTCAAACAAGGAGATCTGACAGATTAAAGTTCTCTAGTTGTGATTCCTTTAGTATGAAGTTTGTTGGAATCTCCTTGGCAAAGTGGTCAAGCCATTTGCCTTGTGCTCAGATGGTAGTGGGTTCATTTCACGGCCACGTCGTTCAGTTCACCAGTGCAATTTTTATGGAGATCTATGGGGATTGTCACTGGAGATACAGAGTTAATACTTTGTGTAATGCCCTCTGCAATCGGCTAGCCATTCTGTGGAGAGAGGCAGAGCCAGATGGGACACCTCAGGGCAATGAAGTCGATCCTCTCGATTTTTTAATTTAACTGTTTGTGAGATCTGTTTTCCTACTAGATTTATCCATCCATCCATGTCTCTCTCTATCTCTCTATCTGAGTGTGTATAAATATATATAAATATAAATATATTTATATAAATATATATACACATACGCACACACACATACACATATAACATACAGTATTTTCTTATGTTTGTTAGTGTCAATTATTAACTGAACAGGGGAACATTTTATAATATTTCTCTTTTTACATGTGCCATGGTGGTGTCGCTTGCCTGTTAACTCACTACACTCGCAAAAGCAGCAGTAAATTGTTAAATGAGAGAAATAATTTCACAAATGTAAATCACTGTCAATAAATCTAGAAGAAATTTTAACTGACTCTAGACAAGAGAATGTCTTAGGTCTGAAAAAAGCTAATTTGATTTATCCCTGAACAGAGAGTTCTTCAGTAAAAGCTGAGATTCTCAATCAAAGCACTGTCAGAAAATTGGTAGGCCTACATACCACAATGAACATGGGCTCTAAAATTATTCTAGAGACCAAATTAACACATTATTTAATTAATCTTTGTGCTGATTTAATAGAAAAGTATATTTTCCTTCCATGAGAAAAGGATATATATTGAAATAAGTTGCTCTGTCTATCACAATCTAATCAATTCATCATCCGAAGATGTAAAATATTTGTGACAACTGTTTAAAAAACGTACCAGTCTTCCAGAAGGCACTGCATCAGTAAGAATTAAAACTGGCTGCTTGTCAAAAGCTTTGTCATTCTGTTGTAGATAATATGAAATGAAACATAATATTAATTTAACTGCATATGTAATAAAAATAAAATATTCAAAATAATGTAATCTTAGGATGATGATTATAAGTTTTCAATAAAATAAAATAAAAAAGGTGATTAAACACTGGGGAAATTCTGGAAACTGCAAAGGCAGACGCAAAGAAAAGATCTGCCTATGACAGTGGGAACAATTTGTAGAGACGATGGTGTGCGTATGACAACAGGCAAGGAGAAAGGGGAGGCTTTTCTCCATAGGTTTATAGCTCAGACAGATCATAATGATGCATCAGGGATGCGGTTAGAAAGGAATTAGCTGGTACCTTAAAGACTATGCATTATGAAGACATGATACAAGTAGAAGATATCAAACAAATTTAAAAAAAAAGGCAAAAGACACTGCACCAGGGCCTGATGGTGTCAGGTATAGCCACATGAAGGCTTCAAGTGATGTAGACCTGGCAGAGATGACCAACTGCTTTAACCAGAGCATTGAGACAGCATTAGTACCGCAAGACTGGGTGCACAGCTATCTAATTTCACTGCCAAAACCTTTTAAGGATCATTCAAAGCTCAGTGGCTTTAGAATCATCACCTTATAAAACACATTTAGGAAGGTCTTGGGGAAGATAGTTGCTGTAAAGCTGCAAGAATTTCTGAAAAGCTGGAACCTTCTCCCAAGAGGTCTGGGAAGCTACAGGCCAGGAAAGGACACATGGGCAAATGCGGCCACTTTTGCTTTTGACGTCTATGAAGGGTTCCAGAACAGACAGAAAACTATGGTGGTAGCACTAGATGCTTATAACATAGTAAGATATGATATCTTGATGACTGCGCTGAAGGAGAAGGAGGGCAGTCCATGGCTGGTGAATTAGATTGCAGCTGTCCTGTATTCGTGCCGTGTTGCTCTCCGACTGAGCCTCATGGACCTCAGAACCATGCAATTTAGCCCCAGGACTGCGACAGGGATCTGCCATCTGACCTGTGCTCCTTAACGTGTATACGAGCAAGACTGCAAGCCTAGAAGCACCAGGAGTTGGAAGGATTCTGACTTTTGAGGATGACATACTTGAACATATGCAGGGGGAAGAGAGGGAACAAACAGCCCAGGAGCTACAAGTGACAGTAGACAAAGTGACTGAGTGGTGTACAGAAATGAGGGCTGTATTCCACCCGGAAAAGGCATCTGTTTTGTGGTGTTCTCTAGACAACAGGATCATAAGAGCTAATGTCCCAGGTCTCAGGATAGATGGTAGAAATTCAACAGAGAGAGCAAACTGAAGTATCTGGGAATTACATTTGACAGGAGCCTGTCCTTTAAGGACCATGTGGAGAGTGTTGTGACAAGATGCCAAAAAGGACTTAGTGCACTTAAGACTATGGCTGTAACTGACACAGAGCAAAAAATATTTTCAAACTATATCAGCACCTGATCCTGTCAGTGGTTGATTATGGCCTGGGACTGCTTACAGTGTCAAAGAGTCAGATAGACAAACTAGAGCGCATACAGAACGCAGCTATGCTGGTCATTCTGGGTTGCACCAGAGACACCCCAATGGTGGGTGTGCGATACATCCTTGGCTAGCCGACCGTTGCAGGTAGGCACAAGGTGCTGCAGGCGAATTCATATCTCAAGGTAGCTGCAGACACAGATCACCCTTTGCACAAAGCTCTGGGTGCAGTTAAGGGTCAGCGGCTGATAAGAGGGAAGTCATGGATGGCTCAGGCAGAAGACACAATCAGACAGCTTTGCATCCTTGAGAACATTAGGCAAGGAAAGCAGTGGGTCAAAGTGCCACCTGAACAGTCAGACTTGTGTAGGGTCATAATCACGCTGAGCCGGAAATGAAGAGACTGGCCAGCAGGTGCCACGGAGGTGGAAATTCAGCAGTTAATTCAAGATAATGCTCGCTTAGAGGATTTGATTATTTACACAGACGGTTCAGTGTCAAGAGGCAAAAGAAGTGCTTGGGGTTTCTTAGCAAAAGTTAGTGGTCGACGTTTGGTGCAGGAGAGCCAAGCATATGATACCACAACATCCATTTTGAGAATGGAGGTGGAGGCGGTCACTGCAGCTTTCCGCTGGATAGAGAACATGACACACACACACATCATGATTGTAACTGACTCAGAAAGCATGCTGAGGAAAGTCAGGACAGGACGTTTATTCAAAATGCTGCTGGCACCATTAGTATCAGAACTCTTCACTGGCTGAAGATGGGGATGGAGCGTTTATGGGAATGCCCCGAGTGCAGTGATGTCGGTTCTTGAATCAACTCAACTCAGCTCAAAGCTACTTCAGCTGTCATAACCTTCTTCCACATATTTTCCAAACGAAAAACAACTACAGCTGTCAACACCTACTTTCACATGTTTCCCACAAGAAAAGCTACTACAGATGTCAACACCTACTTTCACATGCTTCCCACAAGAAAAACAACTACAGCTGTCAACACCTACTTTCACATGTTTCCCACAAGAAAAACAACTACAGCTGTCAACACCTACTTTCACATGTTTCCCACAAGAAAAACAACTACAGCTGTCAACACCTACTTTCACATGTTTCCCACAAGAAAAGCTACTACAGCTGTCAACACCTACTTTCACATGTTTCCCACAAGAAAAGCTACTACAGCTGTCAACACCTACTTTCACATGTTTCACACAAGAAAAGCTAATACAGCTATCATCACCTACTTTCACATGTTTCCCACAAGAAAATCAACTACAGCTGTCAACACCTACTTTCACATGTTTCCCACAAGATAAACAACTACAGCTGTCAACACCTACTTTCACATGTTTTCCACAAGAAAAGCTAATACAGCCGTCATCACCTACTTAAACACCTTTTCCAAACAAAAATCTACTACAGCTGTTATTACCTTCTTCCACACGTTTTCCATATATAAAAGCCTACTTTCACACATTTTCCATAGGAGAAGCTACTAGAGCTGTCATCACCTACTTTCACACATTTTCCATAGGAGAAGCTACTAGAGCTGTCATCACCTACTTTCACACATTTTCCATAGGAGAAGCTACTAGAGCTGTCATCACCTACTTTCATACATTTTCCATAAGAGAAGCTACTAGAGCTGTCATCACCTACTTTCACACATTTTCCATAGGAGAAGTTACTAGAGCTGTCATCACCTACTTTCACACATTTTCCATAGGAGAAGCTACTAGAGCTGTCATCACCTACTTTCACACATTTTCCATAGGAGAAGCTACTAGAGCTGTCATCACCTACTTTCATACATTTTCCATAGGAGAAGCTACTAGAGCTGTCATCACCTACTTCAACATGTTTGCCATAGGAAAAGCTACTAGAGCTGTCATCACCTACTTCAACATGTTTTCCATAGGAGAAGCTACTAATGCTGGCATCACATACTTCTACATGTTTTCTATAGGAGAAGCTACTACAGCTGTAAACACCTACTTCCACATGGTTTCTATAGGAAAAGTTACTACAGCTGTCATCACCTACTTCCACACATTTTCTATAGCTTCCACACTTTCTCCATAGGAAAAGCTTCTAAAGCTTTCATTACCTACTTCCAAATGCTTTCCATACAAAAATCTACTACAGCTGTCATTATCTACTTTCATGTGTTTTCTACAGAAGAAGCTACTAGAGCTGTCATCACCTACTTTCACACTTTTTCCAGACAGGAATCTCCTAGAAATCTCTACAGCTGTCATCACCTACTTCTACATGTTTTTCATAGGAGAAGCTACTAATGCTGTAAACACCTACTTCCACTCGTTGTCTATAGGAAAAGCTACTACAGCTGTCATCACCTACTTCCACTCATTGTCTATAGGAGAAGCTACTACAGCTGTCATCACCTACTTCCACTCATTGTCTATAGGAGAAGCTACTACAGCTGTCATCACCTACTTCCACTCGTTGTCTATAGGAAAAGCTACTACAGCTGTCATCACCTACTTCCACTCGTTGTCTATAGGAGAAGCTACTACAGCTGTCATCACCTACTTCCACTCATTGTCTATAGAAGAAGCTTCTTTAGCTGTCATCACCTACTTCCACTCATTGTCTATAGGAGAAGCTACTACAGCTGTCATCACCTACTTCCACTCATTGTCTATAGAAGAAGCTTCTTTAGCTGTCATCACCTACTTCCACTCGTTGTCTATAGGAAAAGCTACTACAGCTGTCATCACCTACTTCCACTCGTTGTCTATAGGAGAAGCTACTACAGCTGTCATCACCTACTTCCACTCATTGTCTATAGAAGAAGCTTCTTTAGCTGTCATCACCTACTTCCACTCGTTGTCTATAGGAGAAGCTACTACAGCTGTCATCACCTACTTCCACTCGTTGTCTATAGGAGAAGCTACTACAGATGTCATCACCTATTTCCACTCATTGTCTATAGGAGAAGCTACTACAGATGTCATCACCTACTTCCACTCGTTGTCTATAGGAGAAGCTACTACAGATGTCATCACCTACTTCCACTCATTGTCTATAGAAGAAGCTTCTTTAGCTGTCATCACCTACTTCCACTCGTTGTCTATAGGAGAAGCTACTACAGCTGTCATCACCTACTTCCACTCATTGTCTATAGGAGAAGCTACTACAGATGTCATCACCTACTTCCACTCATTGTCTATAGAAGAAGCTTCTTTAGCTGTCATCACCTACTTCCACTCGTTGTCTATAGGAGAAGCTACTACAGCTGTCATCACCTACTTCCACTCATTGTCTATAGGAGAAGCTACTACAGCTGTCATCACCTACTTCCACTCGTTGTCTATAGGAGAAGCTACTACAGCTGTCATCAGCTACTTCCACTCGTTGTCTATAGGAGAAGCTACTACAGCTGTCATCACCTACTTCCACTCGTTGTCTATAGGAGAAGCTACTACAGCTGTCATCAGCTACTTCCACGTGTTTTCCGTAGGAAAAGCTACAACAGCTGTTGTGACCAGTTGCTAACCAATATAGTATTTATTTGTGATGTTTCATGTGATGTTTTCATCACTTAAAATTTTTCGACCTGTTGAAGTTAGTTTACTGAAGGCTCTCATTACTCGAACAATGAACCCAAAGTATCACCAGGGCCAAGGAGTATACTTTGTATACATACAGCAATCTGATAAAAAAAACATCAAGACAACTTGAGAGAATAAATTAGCATTCAAATTCAGAACTCATATTGATAAAGACAGCGTTTTTTTCATCGCATGATGAAAAGAGGTGCAATTAAGAACAAAGGGGACAAAAGATCAGTGGTTTAGAAAACAGACAGAAGCAGACTGAGTGAAATGATACAATATGGTATATGAAGAAAGCATGGCAGAATACCATCAACAAATATAATCCAGAAGTAATCCTCCTCAAAAAAGTAAAGAATCCCAGAAAAGTAATTAATTTAAGAAAATATATCAGCAAAAGTAACAATAAAATAATTTCAGAAAAGTAATGAATGTCAGAAAATAATTTCAGAACAGTAATGAAGAATTAAAAGAGATTTGTCTTTTATTGAAATTTATTAAATTTCTAGACAATTTCTTGTGACTTAGGTAGTCTTTAAAAACAAAATGTCCAATAGGGAAGTGATTGTGAAAATCCAAACTATCCATCTGACGGGTTAACAACCTAAGAAATATTCTGTCTTCCCAAGCAACTATCAATTTGCTCACTGCTGTTTCAAAAGTTAAAAAACTAGCCTGATATGTATATTTAACAAATAATAAAGAAAACTGACAAATCAAGTACCTGCGAATAATTTCCCAGAGGGGCTTGAAGTGACTCCAGATTACCTGTCAATGATTCTAATCTGTCTGTAACAGCAATAACTATATCAAAGTTACCATCCTTGATGTCAACAACTGGAATTATGTCAAGTGGGCTGTAAAAACAAGGAATGGAACACAATTTTTATAGTAAATAAGCAGGGTGAACCACTCTTAAAACAGCAGACTGCTCTGTTTTTGCTTAATTAAGCTTACTAATTTTACAAATGTTGAATTAGGAATCGCATCACAGAACTTGGGACACTCCCATAAGCGCTCCATCCCCATCTTCAGCAGCAAGCGAAGAGTTCCAATTCCGATGGTACCAGTAACTGTCTGACTGTATATCCATCTTGCCTTTCCCTTAAGTGTTGAGCGTCGGCCAGATCCCCTAGTAACTCTTTGCAGCACCATTCTCTTCAGACCATAAGTGAATTTTGATCTATTTGTAAATCTGTACTGTTCACTCGCTCCTAAAGGGCCCTGAAAACATATAGTTTGTGATACATCAATTCACCAGCAAGTGGTGCAAAACCGGCCAGTCTTTCTGCCGGCTCATTTACCAAAATACCGGCATGACCTGGAAAAAATATCCAAAGGACGCTAACTTACCGGAACCTCTGAAGCGATGCTTCCACTGCACGAAGCATGCCTGTCTCCACCTTTCTCAGCATGCTCTATGAGTCGGTTACAATTACAACATGTGTGTAGAGCTGAACAAGCCTGCAAAAGGCAGCATTGACTGTCTCCACCTCCATTTTCAAACTAGATGTTGTGGTATATGTCAGGCTTTGCTGCACTAAGCGACGTCCATTCGCTTTTGCTATGAACCCCCATGCACTTCGTCTGCCTCTAAACACAGAGCACAGAGCCATCTGTATGGATAAATCACATCACCCAGGCAGGAATTGTCATGAATCATTTGTTGAACTTATGATTCTGCAGAATCAGCTGGCCAGTCGCTGCACTCATGGCCCAAAGTGATTAGAACCCTACACAAATCTGATTCGTTATTAATTGTGAGGCTTGGAACATTAACAATAACATCAAAAGGTTTGAGGTTTGAATAACAGATCAACATCATGGCACATGGGTGGTAACCCATAAGTGCTCTGTTCTTCTTTTAACTCAAATCTGAGCCCGAAGGTGCTCAGCACAGTACACAGGCTCTGTAGCACTGGCGAAAATCCTGAAATATTTTGGGTAGATTTTTAACTCCAAATTTTGCCTTGGCAACGCCGTTAGGCTACTCTTTTCCATTTCCAACTGCCAAGAGATTTTTTTTACGTGCACAACCAGGCACATCAGCGTCCAATATCCAGAGACCAGGGGGAATTACTAGAAGTCCAAGTCCACATAAAAAAAAATCCCACCCCTTATAGGGGATTGAACCATGTTTCGAGACCACGCAGCACCCCCTAACATCAAAAGAGAAAGCCAGGCTTAGGCACTGCTGCGTGTGGATTTGGAGGGGTGGGGGGGGGGGGGGGGTTTGCAAGATTGTTTAGGACAATGTCGTGCGAACCATGAACTCGCGAGTCCACTTGAATGTTGCAAGTCCACTGGAATGTCCGGTGACCTGAGTCAATTCTTATGGCTGTGTTGACTTAAGCCAGGAGATTTCAGTTCATCTTGAGTCAATATTTTAAGTCAGTGTTGACTTAGTGCCGGAGGGACCATTGGGTTCACGAAGTGTCAGCCCAGTGCAGGGCGATTTATCATATGTAATGCGTGGATAGCAGTAGTTGCATGGAAAGTATGGGTTTCTCAATGAAGGGGAAACACGCATAACAGTGAGTGTCTCGTGTGCGCGGAAGAGCTCACAAGGGGCAGGCATGTGTATATACTGGGAAAGAGTCCAGGTGAGAAAGAGAGCTCGAACAGCTGAGTTGAAAGCATTCGAGGCGGAAGCACTCGCGAGAGACTGGTCTAGAGGATAGTTGAGAATGCATTCGAAGGAAGAGAAGTCCAGTTGGCAGAGCTGGGCCAAGAGAGCTGGACTACTCCAAGAAGAAGAAGCTGACTTGAGTGACGACGCATGTGAGTCGGCAGTGATCACTAGTGAAACAAGACAGCAGAGATGTCAGTGACAGCTGTGTGCTGAAGAGGACTCACGAGCTGGGAGACCTGCCAGTTATCATGGTTCCTTCGACCAGGCTGATGTGCTGTGTGTACATTCTGGAGATCAAGCATTGTGAAGTTTTCCAGTCAACTGATGTGACAGTGTCTGCTACGCATACAGCAACGGAGGTCCAGTTGAGTAGGAGATGTAACCTGTTCATCCTTACAGCGAGCCCTGAAGTGAGGGGAGCTGGAGACCTAGGCACTGTAGCGTTCAGCTCAGCGGTAGTGGCCGCTAGTATGGGCTGTCCAAGAGAGCACCGTTAAACCAGTTTGAGGGAGCGAAGCGTCGGATATTCATTTCATGATTAGCCAGTGATTGGACATATGTATGATTGCTTCGCTTGCATTATTCTGTGAGTGGGTTTGTGTATACCCAATCGCACTTGTAAAAATAAACGTGCATACATGGCGGCAACACGTCATTGAGTTTTCCTGACATTTGGTGCATAAGTGGGTTTAACAGTTTGGAGTGAGAACCATATCCAGGACACTTGGTCGTGTGATGTCTTCCCAGATTAGCACACAAGAGCATGGGGGCCAAGCCTCTACTGAATGAGGGACCTTTCAATAGCATGTTGCACTCCAACAGCATGGGCACCAATCTATTGAATGAGGGAGCTAGCAACAGCATGTGTTGACCAGCTAAAAAGTGACCGAGGAACAATTATTTCTTGTGTCATCAGTCCAACAGAAGGACAGAAGGAGAACATTGCCAGAGAATGCCATATTTCACAAGTATATGTACTGTAACTGTAATATGCAGTATCGACAATTAACCAGCTTCAAGGACCCAGATCAAGGAACTGTGTCACCCAGAACCTTTTACAGGAGCTGGAGCTATAAAGTGAACTGTCCAATTGAAAGAGGCATTGTGTCCTGTGTGTGAACCTTTACATCATCTTTGTGTTTCACGTCCAACTATTAACGGGTCTGTGATTGTAAACTGAGTAATGTTTTATTCAAGTTTCATTTGTTGTTCTATAGGCAGCGGTTAAGAGGTAGCACTTTTAGTTAAGTATCATTGTGTGATGCGTAATTTAGGGGCCGTCTTTTAGTTATTTTTGCTGTCTTTCAAGGTATTGTTAGTGATAACAATCACTTCTTAGATTGGAGTAGCTTGTGTGTCTGTGGTGTGTTAATAGTTCTATACGTATAGTTTGTTATCGGTGGTCATTAACCTTTGTACTTTCGGTCAATTTTTCCGAAGTGTGTATTTTCACCATCATATATAGCTTGTGTATTCGTTGTCTTGTTTTCATAAAGAATTGTTGCTGTTATTGTAGCGTCTCATGATGTCCTTCATTCATTTACATTTTATCATCAACATCAACAGTAAAAATGACTTGTCTGTTTGTCAGCATAGGTAAGGAGTTGGGACTCAAGTCCAAAGAGGTTCTGAGCTTCGCAGATGAAGGAGATAGCAAAGTTGCTAGAGACGAGAGGGCTGCAGAGAGCGCTCATCAAAAGCAAACGGCTGAACTAGCCATTGCAGAAAAAGAGAAAGAGGTAGTGCGATTGGAAGCTCCAAGTAAAGAAAAGGGTTCAAACCACTCAAGTGAATATTTGTGGAGATATAAACCCAAGCTGCCTTTTCTAAAACTTGATGATGAATTGCATTCTTACACTGAAAGATTTGAGGAACCACGTAAGTGTGCAGGTATTCCGGAATCACAATGGGTTTCATGCCTGCATGATTTGTTGACAGGAAAATCATTGATTACATTTAGCAACTTGTCTACAGAAGAAGGAAGTTTGAATCAAGGAAGTTGGAAGGAAGGAAGTTGTCACAGTGAGTCAAAAGTTGCTAGCCTCCAGGCAATTGACTGAAAAGGGTTATAGGCAGCGCTTTCATGATGCCTTGCCAGTTAACGATACATCTTTTTCTGAATTTATTGCTAACATTAAAACTCTATTTTTTCAGGTGATTAGCACTGGCGAGTATTAGTAACTCGTTTGATAAACTTGTTGACCTGATGCTTAGGGATAAGGTATTATCCTCATGTAGTAGAGACTTGTTTGCCTTCTTTCAGGAGAGAAAGTTGCAAACACTGGAGGAAATGACATTTCTTGGAGAGCAGTATATTACTGCGCATCCAGGTAAACCTATACAGAGGCTGAGTATGGACAAACTTTTTCCAGCAGCTGCAAGTCTGCAGGTGAAATTGCCTCCTAAAAGTCAGAAACCCAAATGGCACTTCCGGGGCAAAGGACAAAGCCCAAAGAAAGGAAAGGAGTTTCCAAGGACAAGTACTACAGATATGCAACCAGGGTGTGTTCATTGTGGATCATGGCATCATAAGTCAGAATCATGTCTCTAAAGGAACAATAAAAAAGATGACGATGGCAAACCACCTACAAGGGATGCCTTTCAAGGACCCTTGAAATGCTTCAAGTGTAAGGGTGCGCATTTGGCCAGAAACTGTCCAAAGTATTTCGGACAAGGTAATGCTGTGCAGAGTGTGGAAACTAATGAAGTATCAGAAAAGCTTGAAGTACAAATGGGACAAGATTCAGAAGTAATTCTTCCATCGTTGTCAGCAGCATGTATGGTAGGGAATTTACCACTACATAAAGAATGTGTAGGTCATTTTTCAGCTACCGTCCTAAGAGACACTGGTGCGAACGTGATAGGAATTGCGAAGTACCTTGTACCAAAGTCTGTGTACTTAGGCAAAAGTACGAAAAGTCGTACTTTTGGTGGCAGTATCGAGAAATACTCTGTGGCAAAAGTCTATTTTAACTGTTGTTATTTCCAGGGTTTTACAGAAGTGTGTGTACTGAATCAACCAGTAGCTGATGTATTGGTGGGATCAGTAAAAGGAGCCACAATGCCTAGTAAGAAAGAGGTTGAAGAGTCGTACCAAAAGCATGTAAGAACAGCTAACCCTGCTGTTACAAGAGCACAGCTAGTTCGCGAGAGTGAAGAGGCCAGACTACGTGATAAGGACGAAGAACATTTCAAGAGGCAGACGGTTATTCAGTCTGGGATAAC